CTAAACTGCCACTGGGTGAACATCTGCACACACCGGCTGCTGCTGGATGCATAACGGGCCGAAAACCACCATCCCAGAACAAACGAGGAATGTCCCAGCAGGAGTAAAATATTCACTATGGCGACATTTGAACCCCGATTACAGGAGTTACAGGAGAAAGCTGGACTGAAAGACGTGAGGCAGATACTGAGTGAAGGCAAAATGTGAACACACAGACATGAAACACACTGATATCCTAATAATAATAATAATGTAATAACATCAATCTGAGCCCGTCTGGGACAAAAATAACTTCTAATGGACGGACTTTGACGGTGTATTTGTTCCTATGACTCAGCGTTAACTTACGTTGCTGCTCACAAATACTTTCACATCTACACTGGTGAATTAAGAATTTATTTTACATTCAACATTGGTGATTGTTGGAAAGACTTTTTCTGATTTGTATTTTCTTTAAGGTTGAAATTCTGATGTTTACGGCGCCCAGTTGCCCTGAAGGATTTTACATTGTCGGCAGTTATGTGTTTTTTTGTTGTCCCCATTTGGGAAAATAGGCTCCAGGTTGAAAAATACATGTTTTCCTTTAATACTTGAAACAAAGTTGGAGACAATCCATTAAAAACCCAATCATTTATATATTCTGGCTGCCGGCTTCAGTCGGGCTCAGGACAAAAATGTTGCTCTCAGCTGGACTTCACTCGTCTGCAATCTAATATTGTTATTATTGTTTGTCTTTTGTTATATTATATTATGTTTTGTGTAATGAAAAAAGTTCCAGATCCAACATTAGGGAATATTTGCAATTCCTTACATGTCCCTGCATTGTGCATCCTAACAGTAATATAGTAACATAGAACATCTCTTTTTTTCCTCCCAACATTAAAAATATTCCTCCAAAATGATCTCACTTAGCACTTGTGTGTGCAACCTTTTAGCGTATGCACACTCACAGATGCATGCAGAACAAACACTCACACAGCAGCGAGTGCACTGTGGGAAAGTTTACAGGCTGCAGGGTCGGAGGAGGAGGAAGCAGCTGGAGTGTGATGTGATGCAAGGCGGAGGAAATCCAGGGAATTAGAGCGGATATGTGAAGGCTGCAGAGCTCACAGCGCTGGAATAAAGACCAGACTCTGCAGATGTCCGAGTCCACTGGGAGACCCCCAGTCCTCCTCGTAACGAATGAGTCGTCTGCTCCCGGCGGACGAGGCGCTCCAGGATGAAAATATCTCAAGTTTAGCACATTTAAGGCAGGTTTTAAGAATAACAATGATCAGTGCGAAAAGGATTCTGTGTGGAGCTGAACTAAAGTGGACACTGGGGAGAAACCACATGTGCAGGTCTCTGAGGTTGAAGCTATAAAAGCTATAAATCAAAAGGTGTCTGTTGATGCCACTGTGTGTGTTTCTAAGGGCGGGGCTGTAACCACAGATGAATCCATGTGAACTTCATTTTTAAACTATTACGGCTCCAATGAAAAGCTCATTTTTGCTCCATTTGATGTGCGTACATTTGATCTGCGTACATTTGATCTGCGTACATTTGACTGCTGGACAGAATCCTGAGAGTACAGAAACTTCCAGGAAAAGTTCCACATTCTGGGAAACGTTTGTCCGTCTGAGAGTAAGATGTTCAAATGGATATTAATATCTCATTAAGCTGAAATCTGGATATGATTAGCCTAGCTTAGCATAATGGCTGGAAGTGAAGGGAAACAACTAGCCTGGCTCTGTGCTGAGGGAGAAATGTGCTGGAACTATTTCAATAACGTTGTCTATCTCCTCCCCAGTATTACAGTGCGGTATCTAAGAGTTGTTACACACTCTGCCTGGAGACCTTTTTATCTTTTTTGCGTGGCTTTAGTGACATCTGGTTGTGACGATGCAGATTACAACTCCCTCGCTTCAACCTCACCTTTGAAGCTTGAAGATATGAAAATATGGTGGCAGTGAGATGTGTAAGAATTAGTTTGTTAACAGATTTGAAGAAGAAAAAATAAATCTGATCTGAGTTTGCTGTGTTTTCATCAGGTTTTTCTATTTTGATTGTATTTTCCATATTTTTTATGTGTTTTTATTGTCATTTTTGTTAGTTTTTTGTGTATTTTCTGAATTGGTTGAGTCCAGTTAATCCCACACTACTCCCTATGTTGGTTTATTTGATTCTCGTGGATTTGTGTTAGAAATTAAGATTGAAATTCATGAAATACTCAAATACCACCACTGAAAGAGTACAGTGATTAACACTTAAAAGTATAGTAATAACACACACACACACACACACACACATACACACACACACACACACACACACACACACACACACACACACACACACACTGTGATGAGAGACAGCAGGAACTATTAGCAACTCAGAGGGAGGAGGGGGGAGGATAATTGCAACGTCTCCTTTGACTCTCAACACTTCTCCTCCCACTCCCGTTGAGTCCATCAACACACACACACACACACACACACACACACAACCTGAGATCAGGAGAAACACTTCCAGGTTTTATCTGAGGGAGGAGAACGGTCCAATGAGAGCAGCAGAAACCAGACGGAGATTAAAGGAGACAGCTGAGCACTGAACTCTTTGTCTTTATGTTGTTTATGGTGAAACCGTCGTATACAGTGTATCGTATTACTAACTTAAGATGTGACTATATATATGTCTGTCTTATCTTTTAACCACATTCAAAATGTGGTTGTGTCTTTTCAGCATAGATTAGCTTAGCATAGCATACAGAGCAAGTACAGAGCAGAAAGGGGCGGGACTTAGGACGTGAACCTGCTGGTGTGGCGTATGAAACGGCGTCTGGCCCGTGTGGAAGCAGCTGATCCTCCTCGGGACCAGAAAGAATCCAGCTGCACTTTGAAATATTAACATTGTCTCAGATTTATAGACCATCTGCAGATGTTTACGGCTCAGGAAACAGATGAAGGGCTAACTGTCCGCGTTATCTAAACTCTCCCCTTCAACATATTAACTGTCTGATGCTGAAAAGATGGAGGATCATCTGTCACCAGTCTGCTGTCATCTTTCTCTCTCTCTCTTTCTCTCTCTCTCTCTCTCAGGCCAATTAACCCTGTCTGCATACCTGTCTCTCTTATCTGTCTGCTCGTCTTTCTTCCTCAGTGGACGTCTGCCTGTCTTTCTGTCCGTCACACTTCCTGCCTCTTCTTTCGACTCATATTACCTCGTTGACTCTGGTGTAGACTGATGATTTAAATCCTGATGTTTGATGATAACACTCCTTCATAAAACATGTAAAATCTGATGTGATTGAACTCCTTATAGTAAGTTGTGTTGAGTGTTTTCTTTGTTTTGTTGTCCAGATTAATGAATTGCATGCAGATTATTGGGAATGTGGCAATTCTTTGTGTTTTTAGTGAAGTTATTTAAATAATGACTTGTTTAACTAATGCGTATATTATAATATACCTCTAGTTCTTAAAAACTAGCTGCAACAGTTCTCTTTAACACTTTATTGTAACTGATGTTAATGCCTTCTGGAGGTTTGGAAGTTAAGAAAAGAAAACCAACTATTATCTCCAAAAAACAACTGATATTCATCCACATCCATCTTGAATGTTCTGATGTTCTTCTTGAGCAGAGCTGAAGTTAAGGTCTTTTTGCCGTTGCACAGCAGTGTGGTTAAAGGGCTGACGGATGCATCACTGCTGGTATAAACCAACAGTGACGATCCGGCAGGTGTTTGTGAAGCTTGTCTGGGTTTAGTGTCTGAGCTCCTTACTGACTGATGTTTGTGTTGGAATGTGGGCACAGCGAGGATTAGCTGGGTAATCCCTGACCAGAACAACGGTAATCCTCAACCTCATCCCTCACACCTCTGGACACGGACCCCTTCAGACGCTGCTCAGGACAGGATATACGTATCTGAGTGTGCTCAGTGTTCACTGAGACGTAGAATCAACTCATCTCATAAAGAGAAACAGCCAAAATAACCTTGTCGTACTTTTAGCATTTTATAAAAGAAGTTTTTTTTTTTATTTCATTTTCCATTAACAACCAGAGATGATGTGTTAGTTCTGTCTGCTAAGAGAATAACATGAAACTGGTTGAAACACTTACTGACGTCTCCCCACATTGACTGAAATGTAAAAACACATTTCATGATGCAACTAAAGACTTCAGTTAGAGATATATTGTCAGAAATGGAATATTATATTCATAGGGTGTGTTATCATTTGTGTATAATCACCTGAATATAGGAATCATTGTGTTTGAGTTACGGCTTCCCCCAACTAAAGATTCTCCTAGTCAACTAGTTGTTACTTGTTTACGATATTTATTGATTGATTATAATCTCTACATGTGAACAGCAGTAATTATTGTAAATCAGAACAAGCAGCAAGGAGACTGAACCTTTAGTTCATCCCTAAATATCAGTCGGTCGGTCCACCACCTTGCTACAGACTGAAACATGTCAACAACTATCAGATGGACTGCCATGAAATACTTACTGATTACGTAATCAGATTAATGAACCATATAACGTAGTCAAACTCTTACTGAAGTCAGTCAGGAGAAATGTCACAAGTCTTCAGTGTTGTTCTTTGCTCTTCTTTCATTGAACAAATCCAGTTCTGATAAAACCTGAGGCCAGTAGCATCCGTGCTAACCTCTTTCACAGCCGCCATCGCTCTGTAACGAACAGCATCTCCTCGCTGCGTCACACCCCCACAGCTGCCAGTACTTCCTTAAAGGACACTGAGGGGTCCGGTACCACTGTGGTTTGGTCTCAAATGCACAGATTGCAAGGTTAGATGTTGTGCCGGCAAACAATTGTGAACTTTTAATGTCCCCATGCACATGTCGGTCTATTAATCTCCTTTATCTGGACACCTCATTGTGCATTTTCACATATTTAACTGTGGAATTAAACTAGCAGCACAGTGACTGGTAGCCCCAACAGTTTATTGCTTAGTATTTAAGGTGTCCTGTGGTCTGTGTGTCCCTCCCGCTCTGCCGTACAGTGTCTGGAGTTCGGCGAGGGCTCGGTGACGGGGGACATGTGTGAGGATCTGTGTGTGCTCGGCCTGGTGGAGTACAAACGCTGCCTGTACTACGAGAATGGGAAGAAGGTGATCGAGGCGCGCTGGAGAGGAAACCCCGTCATCCTCAAGTCCAAACTGGAGAATTTCTCCTCCTACGAGCCACTGGGAATACTGGACTACCAGGTGACGTCTGTCTTTGAACTTTTAGTTTTGGTCCAGTGATGCTCGACTTAGCTCCAAATCAAAGTACATTGTAAATAATTTACAATAAATGATCCCCATTGATTTTCTTTCTCCAACAGGACACAGCCGAGGAGCTCTCCCCTCTCGATGTGGTTTTCTACGCCACTCTGGAAGTAAGTCCACATGTTTTCGACGTGTTCTCCTTAATTGTTGAAATCACAACTTCTTGGAGGGACTTCTCTACAGAGGATTCACTCTCATGTGTGTAAAGTACATTTTTAAACATTTCTGCGTACCAAAGTTTCCTCTCATTTGATCTCAGGTGCGAAACTCTCTGGGCCTGGCTGAGGAAGACGAGGATGAGGAAGGAGGAGGAGGAGGAGGAGGAGGAGGAGGAAATAACAGCTATCTGGCCAAACTTTGGGGGAAGAAGCTGAAAAACAGAGACAAGAGTTACTCCAGAGCGGAGCTGACCTCTCTGTGGTCCCTGCTGCAGCAAGAGGAGTACACCTTTCTCAGGTAAGAGTCGCACAGGGAATAACTGCCCCTCCAATATCCTGAAGTGGTGAATTTGAAATTCAGGGCAGCTCTCAGTGCAGTATATCAGGATATATCACACAGTTTTACAACTTTTAAAGTCAGGTTTTAACACAGCGAGAAAAGAAGGAAGTGTGCTTCAAAGAGATTTGGTCAGTTGGCGCCGGGGCGTCAGATATGGAGAAACTTAATTATTTTGCAATTCATGCTTACTCAACTGTAAGCATTTCACTCTGACTTACAATCACATTTTGTATCATTCTATCCTAAAATTAACATTAATTTATCCAGAGCTCACAGAGGACCTGAGTCGTACATCTCATAGGAATAAAAAGGGTTTTGCGTGTGTTTATAAGGTAGACAGACAGTACACAGGACCAATATGCTGTAGGCGCTGACCAATAACCCCCAAAAAACACTGCACATTTTACTGAGTTGGTCTAAAACAGCACATTAGTCTACCCAGACCACAACAGCAGCAGATATTAATGCAACTTAAAGGCAAGAGAGAGTAACACAGCCGAGGACACGGCACAGAGTCAGCACAGCACATACGGGTGTGGCATTTCTACATGTTGTTCTTTGACAAACTCCTCCGAAGGGAATCGATCGGATCGACTTGGTCGTGCGGTCTAACAAACACTTTCATGATTAAAAGTTAAAAGTCTGTGGCTTGGTGCGCAGTGAAACAGAAAGTTGTCATAATTTCAGTGTACTTTATCTGTGTAAACTACACGTGTCTGATAGGAGTCCTGCCCTCCATATTCATTCTACAGTATCAGGGAATTAAAATGAAGACCATATGGAGTAAAGAAGAAAATATGATGTTCTATATTCATGCAGCCGTGTAGAAAGTTCTCTCGTACCACGAATTCCACAAAAATGTGAGGACCTCTGTGGGCAGAGCTGGAGGACGAAAAGAGAAAGACATCAGCTTGTTTTCAGTCTGAGGGCACAGACGCTCAGACAGCCCAACAGGCTGGAAGCCAAAACTCCACCGAGTCCAAAAATAAAAGCGACGAGGCGAGGTGACCTGTGCTGCTGCTTATCTGGAGGCCTGCAGACAGAGCTGCAGTGACAAATGGAGTTAAGGATGTAAAAAAAGAACTGTGTTTGTGTGTGTGTGTGTGTGTGTGTGTGTGTGCGGTAGATGGGAGGAGGCTGGATGACAACACAGAGGGGAATAACGCACTCGTGTGGATTAGTGTGACCTGTACGGGGTGTGATATTAGCTCATACACCAATCTACTGTAGCCTGCAGCTCACACAAAGTGTTTCCACTTAGAGAATGAGGCTAATTACTCTAAACTGTGTTGAGATAAATAATAACAGCAGTAAGTTGATGACACAGTAAAGGTAAAAATGCCATATCTAGAGCTATGCTGCTAGCATGGCTAAAGCTCTGAGCCCACAACAATATGAAAGTGGGATAAGTTCATCCTGTGTAGCTGCTCAGGAATGTTTTGATGTTTGTACCAAAATCTGGCTGCAGTGACAGAAATACATCATCACATTTCAACCTCAAAGATAAAGAATAGACACTCTATAAAATAAAATACCACATTATCACTCTCACTTTGTCCCGTTGGCCATTAAAACTGGTATCATTCTCCCATCCTCTGTTCTCCAGAGTGCTGCAGGACCTCAGCACCCACGTGGCCAAGGTGTTGGGCTCCTGCGGTCATTTCTACGCCGTGGAGTACCTCTCTGCCGGACACGCCTGGGACCAGAACATCTTCTCCCTGGAGGACGTGGCTGTTTCTGGGCTGCAGGGGGCGCAGGGGAGGTGGACCGCCAGGGAGATGGTGCATCACATCGCGCTGAGTTTTCTGGACATGGTGTGGCACTTTGACAACGACTTCACCCACAAACTGCACCTCTGCGATATCAAACCAGAGAACTTTGCCATCAGGAAGGACCTGACGGTGAGTTCTCTTCTCAGTTTAGATTCACTTTAAGGCAGTTCGATGACCTTCGGCTCCAGAGTGACTCACAATGGAAAACACCGAGCACGTCTGAATGTTTTCTGTGATTGTAATGAACATTGACAGAATAGAATAAAAGCAAGGGTGGTGGGAGAAAAGAGATAAAAGGATGTATTTTTAAAAAAGCTATTAGAGAGTGGAGATGGAAATCGGAGCGCGGACAGTGGATTACGTGAGGTTTTTCTTGAAGAGATGTTTTTTTCAGGCTGAAGCAGAAGGTGTGTCCCTGCAGCTGGGAAAGAGAAGGTCATTCTGTATATAACACACTCACAAATCTTCATTCACCTTTTGAAACAGTCCGTGAGGAGCTCGGCAGTTCAGGGAGAGCCCTTCACCTTAAAGTCCTCCAACAAGTTAGAAAAGGTCATCTGCTATATAAATCTCTGCATTATTAATGCACTAACTCTACTTAAAAAGCACACTTCATTTCCTCGTTAGAGGCCAGATACCTTATGATACTTTATTACTTTATGCCGTGTAGAACTCCCTCTGCTCTGCTCCCCGTTCTCTGTTGGAGATAAAAAAAAACACTTTAAACTCAGACTGGCCTGCCCTCCATTTTATAATGTTGAGTTGATCACAAACTAAAGATGACGAGAGTACTGAGCACCAGCTGACACTGGTACATACAATCTGAATTATTCAGACTCAGGTTGTTATTGTCAGTGTCTGACAGCATTATGGAAAGGATCCCTACAGAGATAGACCTTTAGTTTAACCACAAACAGCCGTAATATCACTATCACTCTCCACCAGACTCCAGAGACACAAACACTCATTTTACCTTCAGATCGTCGTAACTTCATTCAAAGTGGACAGAAATGAAATCACTAACTCTGATTTGGTGGAAATAAATCCTTAATTCACCGACGTAGATGAGCAGTTTCAGTCACTCTACTCAGCTGTACACGGAGCATGCTTAAAAATAAAGGAACATCTATAAACAAGAATGGAGAGCAAAAGAGGCCGAAATGCAATGCAACATGTTCCTACATTCATGTGCAGATACCTGTTTATAGCGATCTGAAAGGTGTCTTATCTCTTCACGACCAGCACACAGAGGAAGACGTATCATCAAACAACAGCGATGGGTTTCCAGAATAAAGCTACATGTTTTCTTTGAGGTGGAGCCCAACATTAATCACTTTCTAGTCAAACATCATTCATTATTAATCTGTAATTTTAAAATGAAAGTTTGCTTATTTTAGCTCTAAAAATAAAAGCCAAAGAAAAGTTTTCCTTCAGTCATAAATCAGAGCAGAGTTTAAATGCGTCACCGGTGTCTGGACAGAGCAGCGCTGGGAAAGTCAAGCAAACGTCTGCAGTTGTTTTCTCAGCGTTATCAGATGGTTTTACAGTTTATGCAGCAGACTGTCATTATTCAACACCATGTCAGGTCTGTACCGGCCTCCAGCCAAAGATCACAACTGAATCTAAACTATTTTATCTCTCACACATCGGACTGATGATTAGTGGAAAATGAGCAGTTAAAAGAGAAGAAACCCAGTAAACACAGAGGCAGAATGTGGTGTTTGTAGCTCCAACAAATGTCAAGTAAACCAGAGGCTCATTATTGTTCTTATGGTATTAGCAGGATCGGTCCTATAAAAGTGTTGACATGGAACAGATTTAACAAGTCCCTGTTTATAATGCCAACACTGTTAAATGTTGCTGTAAAACCAGAGCTGCTGTAAGGTCCGCCACTGCAGCAGCTACAGCCCAGTGTTTGTTTCCACGGATTTTATAGACAAAAAATCTAATAAATAAAGTGATACGGAAATCAAGGTGCTGTATGCTTCCTCATATTTACATATTTCCTGTAAAAAACCAACAGTTTGGTAATGTACCGAGGTGTTTTTATGTTGGTTTTAGCTCCTGCCACCTCTGGGCTAAGTCAGCTTACATTAGCTGCACGAGCAAAGGATCCACTACCAATCAAAGCCTGATATATCCTCTTATACCCGGCTGAGGTTGTGTCTCTGTGCTGCCCCCTGCAGGTAGTCGCGATTGACGTGGACATGGCGTTCTTTGAGCCGAAGATGAGGGACATCCTCGACCAGAACTGCAGCAGCGACGACGACTGTAACTTCTTCGACTGCTCGTCCAGGTGTAACCTGAACAAACGCCGGTGCAGCCCCCGCCGCCGCAACAGCAACCTGCAGGTGAGACTGAGACGGGCCGCAAAGACGGGTTACGTTAGAAATGTGCAGTTTGGGTCGGCAGCTTTTAGAAACTGCAAGATGCTAACATGCATATGCTGGGCAATTAGCATGATTATCATTCATTAGAATAATCACATGGATTATTGGAAAGGGGTTTCTTTACATTTTCAACATTTTAATTCATTTTGAGTTGACGTTGAGGTTATTAAATATTATTTTATAGATGTTTTATTATATAATAGTTATTGTATTTTCTTATCTCACTGTAAAGGAGATAAATCTAATCTAGAGAAATTCATAAAAGACAGTTGATGATTGAGTTTTTTTAGTTTTGTTGACACATCATTTAAATAAATTATGATTGTGAAAATAAAAATAAAAGCACAAAAAAAGTGTATAAAACTACATTCAAATGATCCTTTAATCACTGTTCTGATTAATTTATTTTAATTCTTTTAATCAACAAAAAAAACTTTTCCACACACTGTCACAGCTACTTTGCACTATTTATCTTACAGTTTATAAATCCTATTTATTCATATTTATATATTCATATTAATGTAAAATGCTACACAAGTTGTGTGTATTACAATCATCCAATCACGGTCATAAGTTTATTTTATTGTTATTCATCACTCTTTTCCTCTGTGTTTGACTCTTCGTTGTGGGATCAGTAAAGTTAATCGTATCTCACAGACAGTCTTTAGCAACCAGCTCTGTCCGTGCTGCTCTGAACGGGGGTCAGTCAGTCTCCCCCGTGTCCCCTCACCCTCCACCTCTCACACTATACATGTCACCACGAAGCCTCATGCAGCCGCTCCCTCTTCAATATTTTAAATATGCTGAAAGAGATTCCTAGCAGGATTTGAGAGACTAGAAGATGAATGCTGAAGGATTTCTTTGCTAACTGACAAACTCTTTGTTTGTTCTGATCATTTATTTTGGTTTTGCACTAAATTTGCATTCGTCTTTGCACGTGTGTGTATGAACAACAAAATGTCATAAAAATATCATGAACAAATTGTGAATCATGTCAACGAAGTTTGTTTAATTTTCTTTTTATTCTTTTCTTTTAAATGTGCATTCACTCCAGCAGCTTCTGTTGAGGTGACGTCCTCGTTCATTTCATTTCAGCAACCTGTTTAAATACTCACGGAGCATTTTATATGATGAATAAAGTATTTAAAATGTTAACATTTTACTATTTATGGGCAAATAAATCAATAAATCAAATTATCAAATTCACAGAAAATATATTTGTTTTTGCTTATACTGAACTGTAAAATCCAAATAATTCCAATTTTTTGGTGCCTGATCAAGGATTCAATCATTATTTTGGGACAATGGCTAAACATACAGTCTTTTTTATATAAAAAAGAATTATAATTTAGTTTAATTTGTTGTACAAATGATCCCATGAAATTTTTAGAAAATGTAAAATAATAAAAGAACTCTATATAATTAAATATAAATATCACTATATAGTTATATATGCAAAACTGCTTTACTAAAAATGAATGTAAAAAAACAAGAAAACAAAAGTTAGATTTGAGTTCTCTGCACTCTTTTGTCTGTGAACTTTGACCTTTTCTGTTACCTGTGAAGGAGTTTTTCTCTCCTGTTGCTCAGGTAGAAAATGTAAACTGAGGCCTCGACAGTCCCGCCGCCGTGCGTCCGCCTCGCTCTAAACGAGGTGGCTAATAAATTACAGGGTTGTCTGTTTCTCAGGAATCCTGGGTAATCCATCTTTCACAGCATTCAGTTACGTGTGCAGTAAAGATGTAAAGTATGTGGAATGATAATTATTGATCTGAGGACAGGAGGCTTGAACCCGCGGACATATCGTGTTTCTGAATCCACCACAAAGAGATATTTTATTAGAAATCTGCATAAACACTTAATACATTTTTATTATATTATATAGTTTTATATTTTCTTATCTCACTGGAACAGGAAGGAGAGATAAATGTGATCTTTCTCCCCCACTAAAAATCTAGAGAAATAAATATAAGAGTTGGGTTTTTTTGCTTCAAATCTCATCAGTACTTTTTAAAAGAAGCTAAACAAATAAAAGTCAATTTATTCTTATTTTTGACTTCATAAAAAAATCCTCCTTGTCTTCAGCACATTTCAGTATCGACAGATCAATCAAACATTGTTGAATTGATTGTTTAAAGTATAAAATACTAATTTTAACTATAAGGAAAATATAATATGTAAATAGCTGTAAATCATTATTAATCCAGGTTCATTTATTGTATTTTATATTTTAAAAAAACATTGATTTAAAGGCTCTTTTAATTATTATTAAATTGTATATATATCTATATAAAAAAACTTTGTCATGTCCGGAGTGGCAGTGAGCAGAAATTCAACTTCTGATTTGATTTTCTTAAGTGCACTTGTCCACTGCTTTAGACAATACTTATTTCGCTTTATTCTGAATATTTAAATAATAAGATCTACAATATACAAACCATATTACTTGTTTACTGTAATAAGGTTTTTTTCATCCGGTGAGTCTAAGATTAAAATCATTACAATTAGAAGAGATAATTTGTCAAAGCATTAAGTCATGAATATGTTTGTCATATATTTTAAAATATTTTACCTTTTAAAATGGTTTATTTTTATTTTAGTCTTATTATTTATTAATTTGTGTTTTGCAAAACATCTTCTGGAACTGTTTAAGTACTGCATCAAGAAAGTTGCAAACAACATATAACATTCAGCACTTTAGTTAATTAGCTTTATTTAAAGCATGAATTCTGATTATTATTATTATTGTGATTATTGTTATTAATTGTCAGTTATAAAAATATTTTTACATTATTACATTACATTATTATACAATATTCTTCTTTCAGTTATCAGTAGTATTGGTTAATCTATTACTAGTAAAGGAGGTATTAAAATTATATATTATATTATAATATATTATCTATAGATATTGTCTAAATTTTAATCAGTCTAAAAACATAATGTCTCATTAGACTGAAATTTTAGTTTTACAGAAACTTCACAGAAATTATTATAAACAAAGTTTCAAATTATTAATTTCTTAATCATTTAAATTAAAGAGTTTTAACAACAATAATAATACAAAAAAAATTCAAATGAGACAGTAACTTGAGGCCATTTTGAAGCATCGTCCCATCAGACTCGTCAGAAACGTCTGGGAAACAAAAGCCAAGTCGGACATTACCATGACAACGCCCGGACGGACTCTCATCACCCCGCGGGCTCCTGTATCACATGTCATATGATACAAGATACCTGCATTCATCAGATGAGGATGTGTGAATATGAGACGGAGGGAAAATGTTTTTCCTGCAGGTGACGACTGGACAGGATGCGCAAACACGACGGCATCTGAAGCTGGTCCAGGAGGAGAAAGATGACGCAACATTTTACAAAAAATCTAAGCAAAAATTGATCTAAGAGGGGTAATGATGGATGGTAGGATTGCAAGAAGGTGGAAGAAAGTAAATTTGATGCAAGAAATTAAGCAAATAAAATAAATGAATGGCAAGAGCACAAAGAAAGGTGTAAAAAAGAAAACAAATGTAAGGATGACAGAAAGATGAACTGGAGTTAAAATAATTAAGAGAAAGCTCAAGACAATAGCAAAAACTACAGGTGAAGAGAAAAGATGGAGAAGATGAAGAAAAAAGAAGAAATGTTAAAAATCCGGTGATGGAAAAACTACAAATTAGATCAATTAACAATGAAGAAAAGAAAATTCAAATGAGGAAAACAAGATTAAAAAACACAAGATAAGTTAAAAAACAAAATGAAAAAAGGCAGAATATAGAATGAAAAGGAAGACGATGAAATAAAAACAAGAGAAAAGAGGAGAGAAAATGGAAAACAGAAATATAATGATCAAAATAAAGAGAAAATGTGTAGAACAGCAAAGATGAAGAGAACAAAAAGAAAGAACTGAAAACAGAACTGATGGCGTGCAGAAAAAGGAGAAGATGGAAAAAGGGTTAAAGTGTGAACAAAAGAAGAACAAAGGAGACGAGAAGAAAGAAGTGAAGCTGAGTGAAGAGCCCACTGAACACCGGCACCAGACAGAAGGTGTTGATGACACGGCGATGACACGCTGCTGTCCTATTGGTCCATCTGAGGCTCCACAGGTGTCTCCTGAGCGCGACCTCTGATGACCCTCCGCCTGTCAATCATCTCCTCAGAGAAAGGAGGCATTGTCTTTATAACTGTGTGCGTGTGTGTGTGTGTGTGTACTGACTGATGTAGCTGATAACGAACAGCGAGGCGTCGTCTGCATAATGACGTAGAAAAAAATCATCATATTCAAGATTTGGTCTTCTTCTTTCCTTTCTTTTTCTTTTCTCCCTCCTGACCTTTCCTTATCCCTCCTGTCTCTACAAGTTCCCTATCTACTCTACTTCTCTTTCTTCACCTCTTCTTTCCTTCCCTTTCTCATATTTTCTCCCTTTCACTCCTCTTTCACTTCACCTCGTTTCATCTCATTTGCTTTCTAACTTACTTTCCTCTCATCTTTTATCCTGTCCTATCTTTCCTGCATTCATGTCCTCTTCTTGATTCCTCTCTGTCCTGCTTTTTATGCTCTTCTCTCCTTTCCCTTTCATCCCTTTTATTTTTTATTTCTTTTAATATCTTCTCTCAACTGTCTAATCTTCTTCCCTCTCTTTTGTTTCATCCTCACCTCATTGCACATTTCTTATTCTTTCCTTTCCTGTCCTTTTCATCTTCTCATCCCTCCATCTCATCTCATCTGTCTCCCTCCTTTTTCCTCTCTTTTTTCACTTTTTTTTTTTTTTACCCTTCTCTTCTCCAGGTGATTTGTGAGAAGATCTTCAGGCCGTGGTTTTCTCCCACGCTGCTTGGGGCCAAAGCTGGGCTGCCACTGCAGGTAGGATTGTTTATATTATACTTTTATTTTATTTATTCTCTTTAGATCAATGGTGCCCAACCTTTTTACTTAAAGGACCCCTTTTCTATCAGTGAGTAAACTAATGACCCCCAGAATGGAAAGACATGCAACAGATGAATATACTAGGTAAATAAAGTACAAATTGTCAACAGGTTTAGAGTGAAGACTTTGGACAATGTGCATCAGTCCTGAATCAAGTTTCTCTGGTTGAGATTTTGGTCTTTCTCTAAACAAAAAAAATAAACCCTTTATGTTTTATTGAACAGGTGGAGCTGCAGCGAGCGGTGCAGGAGTGTTCAGAAACAGAAGGAGGTGCAGAGGAGGATGGAGATGGAGGAGGAGAGACAGGTCAGGGCAGGGGCGTCCATCAGCGTCTCCTCAACATCCTGACACGCCTCCTTCAGGAGGGAGGGGCTTCAGGGGAAGCAGGAGGGGCCTGGGAGGGGAAAGGCCACGTCCACACTGCACTGAACTTCTGAGGATGTCAAATCCCCATAAAAGACTTTATTTTTATCAAAAGGTTCTTCTTGGGCAAGGTGACCCCTGCTGAAATGCTCAACCTGGACTCTTCTCTTCCTCCTGGAGAAAACATCCCTTTGGCACATTTTTTAGGTCCAAGGAAGCAGATTAAGGCACCAGGAGCCACCAAATATGGAGCCTTTCTGGGAGATATTCAAGATTATCATCATCAACATTAACTACATAGCCAAAAGTATGTGGACACCTCTATTCGTACTTTTGGCCTTTTTGTTCTAATGAAGGGAAATCTTAATGCTGCAAATGTCTGTTAGTAATATTTTAGACATTGGTGTTCTTCCAACTTTGTGCCAGCAGTTTGTCTCTTTCCTGTTTCATCATGATAGAAATGATTTTCCCAGTTTGGTGTGAAAGAACTTGCCCATTGCACCTTTTGGATGAACTGGAACGTAGACTGTGAGCTAGAGATGATCGTCAAAATCAGTGTTGGACCTGACTGCCGCTCTTGTGTCCGAATGGCATCAAATCCCTGCAGCAGGTTCAACATCTAGATTTTGTTGCCCCAATTTCTGCTGTTTGTTGTCCAGGGAGTGTGTGAGTGTCTGCAGTGAGAGAGCTCAGCAATGCCTTAAATATCTTCTCATCAGAGGAGTATATTATAGATCCAGTGTACTTGGATCCTCATGTTTTTTTTCTTCCTTTACAGTTAGTCTCAGTGAGATTTAAAAAACCTCAGTTGTTTGAAATACAGAAATATAAATGCTGCAGACAAGCTATTACGGTGTAGTAACTATTAGTCAGTCAGTTAATGGGTAAATAAATGACCAGTGGCTTTCTTTAGGCTTTCAAGAGTAGGTGCAGTTTGGGTTTTTGAAAGTAGAAAACTAATTTGATTGATTGGATTTTCAACAGTTCAAACTACTTTGAACTTCTTCCACATAATATACAGTATCTGTATTATTACTTTAGCCTTAATCCATGATGGTACATATAAATCACTAACATTTATAGAGTGATGCTGCAGGAAGCTCAACCATTGACAGTATATGTAATGGATTTACGGGTCTGAAGTGAATCTAACGCAGAAGTGTCTTAAACCTGCATTCTATGTTAAGGCCAGCAGGGGGAGCTCCATTGGCTGTCAGTAAATCAGAGATATCCAGATGTCCAAAAACATTTAGTTTCAAACTAGAAATAAGTCAGAACTCCTTCACAGTTGTCCATATTTGTTATTTTAATAATACACATGAGGGATTTCCCGATCAAGGCATTTTTTTACTGATCAGTATCTGTATTGAACTTTATGGATCTGACCAATGAGTGCAGAATCAGAATCAGAATCGGGTTTATTGCCGAGTAAGTTTTTACACGTATCAGGAATTTGTCTTGGTGCGTTGGTGCGTAAAAATCACACAAAAAATAAAGTACTTTTTAAAATATAAATAAATAAATAAAGATAAGGATAAAGATAGAAAGATCCAAACTGGACAGCATATTTACAATGTGCAGGATAGAAAAACCAACGGGAGTGCATTAATGTAATGCATATGTACAGGGTGGGTTTAAGAGTCAACTCTCTGTGTGCAGGGCCAAAAAGCCACTGTAATCCACACAAAAGATGTACAGACAACAAATAAACACTCAACAAACACTGAAGAGAAACTCCCTCCAGACAGCGACGAGACCAAAAAGATCACAGATCCTTAAAAACAAAACAAAAAAGTTCAACAATGCAGGCCATTTTTCTCTATTTAATTGTGAAGCATATACATTGGACTTTAATGTACTTGAAGTGTGTACCCTGCATCTGTATTATAGGATTGAGAGTTGGTATCAGCAGATACTCAATATGAAGTAACTTGGTCAGGACATCCCTAATAAAAATCAATAATCCTTTTTGTATGTGTTTACAGTTGGGAGTCTGCACAGGGTGTTTTATTTGTAAAAGTAATATCTATGCCATGTGGAGCAGAGCGGAGCTGTGTGTGCAGCCCTTCTGGTGGAATCACAAGCAGAAATCAGCTTAAAGATGGCAACATGGTAGATCTATCCTGATTGCTTATTTCTTTACCCATTTCCTAACTTTCCTCCAAATTTTGATGAAACCCTGCAGACCAAACAAACTGTGACCACGAGCTTTATTGTCTGCGAGTGATCTGGACTGAAACAGGAAGGCTATAAAGAAAGGTCACTGCCCACGTTGTATGTTGTTTTAATGTCTGCACGATCTTACCTGCAGTGTACAGTAGATGTGTAGCGACTAAATGGTCTCTCCAGGACCAGGTTTCTGTAAATAGACTATATATAAGGTCATGTTTGAGTTCATATGTATAGTTGAGTTGAATAATAAAATCTGTAATGACGTTCTGCTGTGTGAGTCACTTACAGTACAGGTCAGGTTGTCATTTACAGTATCTTCAGGACAGATGACGGTACCGCGCTCCCGCAGGGTGCGGCGCAGAGGAAGAGTGAGGCATCGGTTTACATTTTCAACGTGTGCCAACAGAAAAGAAAAGCCTCAAATGGTATGTTTTTGCACTTAAAAAGTGGATTTATCTTCACTCTCTGTGTTCATCTGCTGCGAACCACAGAGGTCCACTTGTATCCGTCTGTGTGCACCCAGAGCTCAATGATACTACTTCATATTTATACAGAGACCGGACAGAAAAGGAGATTGCGTGGAGAAAAATAAAAGAGGAAGTTGAAAAAAATATGTTGTTGTTACTGGATTCCAGCTGTCGGTTTTACTTAAAATCTGCAAAAAATATATCGGAAATAACTTAAATTATTAATAACTAAAAATTAACTAAAAGTATTTACTCAAACTCACAAACTCATGCAAGACTTTTTGTTTTCCATGAACAACTTTTCAAGAACTAAAAGGTTCCTTCAACTCGTCAAGATTACACAAATCAGTCCGCTGACATATGATGAAGTGCTTCTTTTGCGTGCGACTTTACAAAAACTGTATGTGTATGCTTTCCTCTGGAACTTCATGTTGACGTGAAGTTCTCAGTAAAGTTGTGGATCTTTAGACGTTACCATATTCGTTGTAGTTCAGACATTGTTGTAATTACCAGTCTGCACCATAGAGGGCGACGGTACAGAAATAGATGTGGATTTCAGCATTTCTTTTGTTACTTTGAGAGAAGACGCTGCTTAGAGAGTCCTTCAGTAGAAACGTAGGAGGGCTGCAGGTGCGTGTCGGATGTTATTCAGTGTGAGAGATGTGTTTGGACTCCTGCCATCCACAGTCTGGTTATTCTGTGAGGAATTTACAGCATGTGATCCCTGGTTTGTTCAACCGCGGCCCTCTGAGGATTTATTCTTATTGTAAAGTTCCTCATATATAAACACAGTCCTCTCTGCAGGATCAGGTTTCAAATCTCCTCCAGCTGCTTCTCTAAACTCAGCAGCTGGTAGTTCTGTTTTTTTAACGTGCTTCGAGTGAGTGAGCAGCCTCAAACAAAACACGTCATTAGTGACTTTAGATAAATCAAACTCTCCTCATTTGTTGTGTTTAATGTGTCTGACAGCTCGATGTGGTGAGCTGTTTCACTACATTATCCAGCCAGGATTGAATAAAAGACTGACCGTTTCTTAAGTTTGATCATCAGGGAATCAATTTAAACTGGAAAACTGAGAAAGAAAAAACCTCACCTCCTCCGCTGGCCAGTGGGCAGATCGAGTTCCAGTGTCTCTGTAGAAATCAAGAAGAAACCAGTGAAGAAGCAGCAGGAGACAGAAGGTAGACACAACATGTCAAAGACAACCTCCGTCCATCTGGAGCCAGAATTCACAACATAAACTACAGCATCTATTTACATAATAATAACACGTGTGGATATGAGATAACAGATTAAACTGAGTCTGTGGTGTTAGAAGTCTGAAAATCTAATATCCAGTCAGTTTGAGATGAGACGGGCCCTTTGTGGGCCTCGGAAAGATGAGGCGAGGGGAGGTAAACACAGATTATTAGGGCCCGAGCTGCTGATCCTATTGACCGCTCGGATTGTTATTTTTCTCAACCACATCGGCTCCGAAACTCGTGAAACACTGGACACGTGTATTATTTGAGTCTTGACAAAATGGCTCCACAGCACTAAAGAGCAGCCCCAGCAGCTCGCTTCACCAATATGATGAAAACTGGTCGTGTGTATATCACAACCAGACCCATACCCCAAACCCAACAAGAATTTAGAGGTCACTTTAACAAACTCCTTCGAGGGAAATTGGTCAGCTCTGCTTTGTTCAGTGCAAAAGACCTTTTACAATGAAAAAGCAAAAGCTTGGGTTTTTAACAGAAAAAGTTCAAATAAATGATTTTAAACTGATGTTTTGAAAATCCTCTTCCCCTTGTATCTTGTTTGAATTAACTTCCTTTGTCTGTTTCCCTCCACTTTTGATTATTTTCCCCTGTCTCTCGTTATCCTTCCCCTTACCTGTGGACTACCAGTCTACCTGCACGCTCAACATATTTATTAAGTCACTGTAGTCATCCCGCTGCTTGTGCTGTGTTGTGTTCGGGTCCAATCTTTTTTTGGGATTGTTGCAGCCTAAAATATACCTGGTTTCACTCCGGCTTTTCTAAATAACTGCAATGCATGTTGCAATACTTTTAGGCATTTTCTTGCAATGAAATTACAGTAGAAAGTGAAAAGTTTTTTTAAATCATTTTTAATAATTCATTAAAAATCAAAGGTAACTTGTTCCAGGGAGAATAAAATCATTAGCAGTTTGGTGACATATGGTTCAGCATTCTGTGGAAAGGTTGATGGCTCCTCCACACATTTATTAGCACTTCTTTCTTTTGTTTCTCATGAAATCAGTTCTACACTGTTTGTATGAGCAAAATACAGCATAAAACGTTGTTATCAACTGGTATTGTTAATTTGCTTAAGCTTAGTTTTCTGACTTGAACTGGAACTTCAATCCCAGCTCTGACTTCAGACTTCCGAGGTAAATGGCATTCACCATAAGTGATGGAGAACAAAATCCACAGACCTCATTCTGTGTTAAAATTGTCTCAAATGGGTTCCTTCCAAAGTTTTTATCATAAAATTCATAATAAAAAGCCTAAAATTGGAAGATACAAACATTATGAGTGTAACTCAGACTGCTGAGGTGCAGAAATGTGGGTCCTGATGTAACTCCCCTCAGACTGTTTCCAGAAAGAAACTGAGCCAGAACAACAGACTAACTGGTGTCACCACATCAGTTTTATGGAAATGATTCACTTGGAAATCTTCCACAGGCTTGCTGGCACTGTGTCAGACCCAGCCTGGCATCTTTCCACTGCTTTCATTTCCATAACGACACACACTGCAAAAAAAAAAAAAAACACTCTCAAATTCAGATTGAAAACAGAGCAGAGGACATCACATCTGCCACAGACAGAGACTGTGTGGTTCTTACAGAAACTAACATCAGCTCTTTCTTCTTCAGTTTGTGATAAAAACTATATTTAGTTTAGTCAACTTTTTACATTTACCACACTTTCACTACATTTTTTACACAAATATCTAAACTTTGAAATCAGAGAAATTATCGATTATTATTACTATTATTCTTTTGCATTATCGCACGCCATCAAAACTGGTGCACAACACGTACAACAGACAAACCATGATAAAAAACAAAGCAAAGACGCAATGACGGAACAAAATGAAACAGACAAGAAGGAAACTCGATCCTGTTTTAAGTTTACTGTCTCACTTTTACTCGAGTAAGGTATTGGTACGTGCCTCGGACACTTGTAAACTTGTAGTCACAAGTGCACTCGTTTGGAAAACTCTCTCTCATATTACAGAACTTGTTCACCAATCTGAAGCCAAATAATCAGTCACCATTTCTGAGCCATCAAGATTCTTTAGAGAATACTTATTTAATGATAACCGTTGTTCTACCTAAAACATTTGCCTGGACAGTCAAAAAACTCCATGCTTCTCAGTTTCCCTGTTAGCGGAGCTACTACGGTTACCTTTATGGCACCAAACGAGCAACATGTTAACACTGAACACTTGATGTGTGAGATCTCCGTCGCTCAGACGTTCCAGTCCGAACTCGTACGCCGTAGTGCAGGAGGAGACAAGTTCAGTCGCTGCTGTTGGAATTCTTCATGTTTGCCAAAAGGTCATTAGATTTCAGCTTTCTTTCTTTTTAAGATGAGATCAATAAAGATTTATGATGTTCATTTGATTTGTTTGTTAATTAGTGGCTTCTTTCATGCACAAAATCTGATCAATCAAATATGTGTGGTGCTTAGAAGTGTGTTTTCTTAGTGGAGATGAAATATGTGGTTGTGTTGCTGTATGAAAACATCCAGCTGCAGGATTTGTTCAGTCGTGGCTGTCGATGAAATGAGCTGCCAGTTGCATTTGAACCCTCGGGGTTTGTTCACAACAACAGTCTGAGATCAGGTTTTACTTGGAACAGTAAATTAGATTCTAAATACTTCTAAAAAAGATTTTATATATCTTAGTTATTAGTTGTGATTTGATTATGTTTCTGTGTTTTTAACTGTCAAAATTCACTCATTTTACATCCTGTAAGTGTAACGGAATTAAATGATTTCATTGCTGTGGAAATAAAGAGAGCTAAACTAAAACCAGCTTGGCCTGAAGCAAACTGGGCCGTTTTCCTGGACTGGAAATCAGCGCTGTCGTTTTTTTTGGAAGTCATCTGCATCTAATTTCTTAATATCTAATATTTCCAGCAGCCACTGGAGGAACCAAGTGAGGCTGATCATTATTAACCCTGAGAGGAGACGTCTGCTGGGAGCCACGCCTCCTCTAAATAATCGTTCAATCTCTTCAGTTTAGTTGCACAAGAGAAGAAAGTTGAAATAGTATCTGACAGCAGAGACGCTTCGAGTTTTAAGTTTCTCAAACGGGAAGATCTGCTGCTTTTCCTTTGAATCACTTCAATGTATTTGTAATAATTTTGAGCTTTGGACTGTTGGTCGGACAAAACAAGCATCATGAAGGTGTCACTTTGGACTCTGGGTAATTGTGTCACTTTTTTCTGAAATCAATCAGTAGTTTCACTTTAAGGCCTGATGAGTTATTTCAACTCAATCGCCTCAAACAGTTTACAGTACAAGTAGCTTGTTTATTGTAAGTTAATTGCACTCTAAACTACTAAGTATATTAAACTCATATGCAGCATTTCTACAATTGCATTGAACATGTGTTAACCAAATGTAAATAAATCTTCTTTATTCAAATGTTAATTTAATCTACTGACAGCAAATTAGGTTTCTGTAATGATATAAAGTCATCTTAAAGAAACAAACTGGAATCACCAATAATTACAAAACTGCACAATTTAACTACTGAGTTATTCAACAGTTAATATTTTAGTTGAGT